GCAAGATCATGAGTGTGTGTGGACTTCTTCAAAGCCCTCCTGGGTGGCTTGTGAAGTGACAAGAGGGTCATTGTGAAGAAACGGGACTTCAGGGGTAACAAAAAAAAAGCAGCAACTCTCTCCTCAAAAGGACGGGAGAATGTGCCTTTGTACCATATTTCCTGCTTTGTCAAAGCCCTGCTTGTCATCTAGGGCATTGACTCTTGCAACAGAAAATGGTGAGAGAGAGTCTGGGTTCCCAGAAGTGTGGTCAGCTGTGGGAGGAAGCGGGCGTGGTCAGATCAGGGTCTCCCTAGCAGTGTACCTGATAGCCACCTGCTAATCCTTTATCAGCGATCACACCACAACTAAATGAACTACCACTCAGGGCAGAAGAGAGAGATAACCCGCTGGACTTCCTGTTTGAAGTTCCTTTCCTTCTTGAGATAACACTAGGTCTCCTCAAAGCCAGGGAGCCGCTTGGAGGGACCAGGCTCGGCGAGGGCCAGGCTTCAGCCAGCTGAGGAGAAAGATACACACTTTACAGTCTGGCCTCTATGGTCAGGGCAGGCATCCATTACAGGCATAAAAAGATCCTCAGCTCATCCGGAGAGAGGAAGCAATTGGTCCTGCAAAGCCTCATTTACCCCTCCTATGTAAGACCCATACCACTCCTCCAACACTGCGTTTATACCCTATAGACAAGAGGGCCCAGGATACCTGGATTTACTCTGCTGCTGTCCCAGAAATCTCCGAAGAACTACCTAAAGGAAGGAGAGAGTGGAGGGCAGGTGGAGCCCCGTGAGCCCCAGGGTCACTCCTTCTCTTGGAGCCCTGCAGAGGGTCTGGTGAGAACAACTCTGGAGGTTAATGGCTTACCAATGCAGCGAAGCCCTATTTCCTCCTCAGCATGGCTCTTCATTCTCTTTCCCAAGCTCCCGTAGAACTTTCAGCTGGAAGAAAAAGGCTTGGTTATTCAATCATCCTTCAACCTTCCCAGGCTCAAATAGTGTTGGATCCTTATTTCTAATGGCTTGGGATTGAAGAGGATTTACATAAATATTTGTTCCTGACACCTGTGATCTTAGGCACCCCCCCCATCTCGTCGGGGACAGTCTGTTCTGCTTTGTACTAAAGTTATGTGTGCATGACTTCTCTTCCCACCTAAGCTGCCTGTCGACTTCCTCCACCGTTCATTCCTGTCGCCCTCAGAGCCCTGACTTGGCACATTTTACACGGAATACAAGTTCAGGCAGTGTGGCCTGGCTGACTGGCTGGCTCAGAGGCTGGACAGTTTTGAATGAGTCTTTGACTGGATTAAGGGCTTAGAATGGGACTTGCCTTTCCACTAAGAAGGCAGTTTCGGTCTCCCCACCTCCATTAATGATCACACAAGAATGGGTTACTAGGGCCCAAAGAGGGGAAAACATGAGTCATTCTAGTATCAGAGGAAAGAAAGAGGCCAAAAACATCTCTCTTTGTACAAGGTCCAGAGCCATGAGGCGGGGGCATTAACACAATGGCCTTTACTATGCCCTCAGCCTATGGTTAATCTAAATTACTTTATGATGGATGGCAGGGCAATGAAGGAGCTGGAAACTGTTCAGTTTGGACCAGGACTCAGGACATTTCTAGGAAGCCATTCAGAGCAAGACTTTCCTTGCTCAACCAACCAAAGGGACCCATGGCTTTTTCCCAGGTGGGCTGTGATTTTCCTAGCCGAGGATGAACTTTTAATTCCTCCCATTTAAACTTTCTTGATTTAAAAAGGCTGTAGGGCTGGGCAGTGGTGGTGCACCCCATTAATCCCAGCACTCAGGAGGCAGAGACAGGTGGATCTCTGTGAATTCGAGGCCAGCCTGGTCTACAGAGCAAGTTCCAGGACAAGCAAAGCTATGGAGAAACACTGTCTTGGAAAGAAAGAGCAAAAGAAAGGAAAGAAGAAAGAAAGAAAAGGAAGGAAGGGAGGGAGGGAGGAAGGGAGGGAGGGAGGGAGGGAGGAAGGAAGGAAGGAAGGAAGGAAAAGAAAAAAGAAGAAAAGAAAGCCTATGGGAGACACCAGGACATCCTAAACAAAGGGCAAGTAGTTGGCTCACTTCCCTCATGAACTCTTGTAGGCCATGGCAACCAGAGAGCAGGAGTCTTCAAATGTGAAGAACAATACCCTCACATAGCTTCTTGGATTAGAATCACAGATCCATGTTACCATGGGAATAGTTGCCAAGCTTCTATCCAGATTCTGACCCTGGAAACTCAGAGGCTTTATTCACCTCCTTGGTCCTCCATTTCATCTCCTGTGAAAAACCTACTGCCCTGAGGTGTTTGAGAGGATGAAAATGCCTTGATTGTCACATGGTGGGTAATCAGAGCCAGCCATACTCAGGAGCCATCAAGGGAGAGTCGTCAAAGCTAACCCATCTTTCAGCCTCCATTTGTCCCAAGTCAAGCACAGGGAATTCTGGTACCAGACAAGAGATGACTTCTTACCATGCAGCGGGTCCTCCTTTACCCTGACCTTCCTTCTAAATGGACTTGGATGCTGTCTTCAATCCTGTGCACCAAAGAGGGTCCACTTCAGTCGTGCAAGGCTGGCATTTGTAATAACCAGCTGCTATATGCGGATGCCCACTACTAAGTTCAAGGACTGGCAAAGCCATACTCATAGGGCCCCACTACTTTTAGTGTTGTATCCCTTCTTCATGGGCTTTGTTGTTGCCTTATAAAGTCAAATCATTGGAATCCCTAACTTCCCCAGAGTTAGAGGATTTAGAACTGAGATACTGGATCTTAGATGACAACCTGGCACCCCCTGCTGAGACAGCTAGCATGGTAGGAGCAGCAAGCAGTAATGCTTTATGAATTCCCACTTCCCAAGATCACCTTCCTGGGTGAACAGGGGAGCCTGCAAGTCTCATTGCTCCTTTGCAGGCCCTAAGTAAATTTCTTTAAACTACATGGGAATTTCTGGAAGGCTGTTCTTATTGGCTGTGAAAATTGTTGGATCAGCAGGGTCCTATTTTCAGAGTCAAGAGACTAGGCCACTAACTCCAGCTATGTAGCCCTGGGGAAACCTTTACTTGTTTGGGTCTTCATTTTCCTATATGGCAAATGGAGGTAATCAGGTCAGGTTCAGCTTCCTCATGTTCGTCGGTTGGAGAATGAGAGGAAATAGGCACATGACCATTTAATAACCAACTCCAATTAAGTTTTTCTGAGAAAGAACAAGGCCTGGGCAAGATGAAGACTTCATTTCTTTTTTGGGAGTCTTGTCATCTAGTCTGGTTGTATTCTCAAAATCTAGAATTTTCTGTGCACCCTTGTGCACAGAGAAACAGCCCCCCACCTGCCCCTCCTAACCCAATTCCTTTCCACCACATGCGCCCTGTCTTAACCCTTTTTAGTCAATAAAACAATTGCTCAATCAACAAGCATTTATTGATCATCTTGTGTGTGCCCAGCACTGTGACACTCTTGGGTATACATACAGACAGGTCGAAGATATAACAACGGCCCTCGAGTACTTACAGTGAACTTTTGATATCACACAGACAGACAGACAGACAGACACACACACACACACACACACACACGTGCACATTCGAGGACTATCTAGTTATCAATCAAAATTATGACTAATAAGTGATTTATATATTGGGGAATTTGAGGAGGGAGCTATACGAGCAGGAAGGAGTGGTCCGAGAAGGCTCATTGAAGGAAATGATGCCAAGCAAGTTCTCCAAGCATGGGGATGTGAAGAGGAAATGGCTTCCAGGTCAGTAAAACAGCTTGAACATAGGTAACACGGTAGAAAAAAGAAAGACATGGTGGAGGAAACCTCATAGACGGGCCTCCCTGGCTGGCACTGAGGTTTGGACGAGGTGTGCTGGGCATCTTCTGAAGCTGGTGATAATAGGCTGGTGGGGGAAAAGTCTGTTTCTGGTCCTCACCTATCACAGGGGAAATGGAGCTTTTTTAAGACCTTGAAAGCGAAACAGTTCAGCTGAGAAGCATGCTCTGTCCCCCCACCTCAAGCACAATCCCAGACGGCAGTTCACCTATCACTCAGGTCATAGATGTCCACCCTGGAGACCTTGCATACCTGCCAAAATACCTTCTGATGGGTGACGACATGAATATTAAAAGTGACCAACAACTTATCTGGCGCTATGGTCTTTCAAAGGCTCTGTAGTGCTCTGGGTATAGACCCGAACGAAGGGTTCCTTTTCCGTTAAGTCTGAAGTTTCTGATAGGGCTTCCTCTATGAAACAGTAGGAGCACATACAACAGCCACTATCAATGTCCACCCAGCTTCTTAGATACCGAAGTCCTTATTCTTTCTTGGCCAGGGTTAAGGCGTAGTATCTAGTTCTAGAAAAACTGGTTTACTGTCCCCAAGGAAACCTTTGTCTGGGGCTCCAAGTCTTGTGGCTTAGCCAGGAGGTTAGACCAGACACCCCAGAGGGCGGCAGGTGGCTCGGGTGGTAGTTGTTAACTGCAGCTTCTTGACCATGCCTCCGTGGAGTCAGAGTGCTGCAGCCTTGTGCTTTCTTGCAGGAAGTGATTCTGATTGTTTGGTGGTCCCAGGCGGCCTCCCATCCTGCACCCGCTTGCTTTCTGCTGGATGCCATTAGATAGCTTTCCTTCAGTTCATTCACAGCCCGGTCTGGACGCGGTTACATTCATAACAAAAGTGAGAGAGAGGCCTCAGGGCCTGCTTCTGATCAGTCCATTTCTTGGGATGGAGGTTTGAGAAGGGAGCTAGAGCCATGCTCACAGAAGCCACCACTTTTTCTTCTCTCTGTCCCCCAGCGATTGAGTTAAGAGCCAACATTAGCCAGAGGCAGAAGGTCTTCTGATCACAGACGTTCAATCAGTAGGTTATGATTAGTGGGTTACGGGCATAGATTTCCAGGTAAACCAAAGATCAGAAGGCATCTCTGGGTTTAGCCAAAAGTGGTTCTAGATTGAGCATTCAAGGTACAGAGGTGCCGTAGTGAGGCAAGGTAAGGGAACTAGAAAGGCAGGCTTGGTGAGTGTCCTTGGCAATTCCATCTCCACACTGTCACACCAGTCCCCGTCTCTGCCTTCACTCCATCCAATAGCCAAAGTTGATCTATCCTCAGCAGCACCTTACACACGATTCAGTGGCAATATCCCTTGCCTGCGACCCTCGGGACATTGTCCACTATTTGTTTTTGCAGTCCCAGACCCCACCCCAGCCCACCCCTAGCTCTGGCCCCTGGTTCTTCACACATACCCAGTCAAGCTGTAGGAGTTGAACTCACTCTTGGCTTTGGGCTGTTGGCTAGGCCTTGGAGAGCTCCTAGTAGCAAGAGGCTGGGCCTGGTAGCCATCATAGTAGTTGGTACGATTCCCCTGAGAAGAGCAGGAAAAGCAGAGGATGACTCCAGCCACCAGGGAGAACAGGGCTGAAATAATGCCCAAGTAAAGAGCCTCTCCAATCTCGAATTTCATGCTATCAGGAACCAGTGGTGAGTAGAAGTCCCGAAGGATGCTGTGAAGATTCCAGGCAACTGGGATAAAACCCAGGATGCCGCCAAGGATGAAGAAAACTCCACCCACAACAGCCACTCTGTCCTTAGCTCGAGATTCCTGGCAGAACACTGTGCATCTCATGCCCACCACAGAGATAATGCAAGCCAGTGAGGACATAGCACTGGATGTCACCATCATGGCCTGGGCAGCCTGGATGTCTGCAGGAAGTCCTAGAAGAGTACTGTAGATATCACACTGGGTGATGCCCGTACTGTGCGTAGCACACTCCATCCAGAGGCCCTTGGAAAAGCCAACGGCTGTCACAATGCTGGCACCAACATAAGAACTTGTTCGCCAGTTGGGAAGCAGCATGGCAATCGATGTGCCTAAGAGACCCAAAAGGCCTAGGATGTAACCCACCAGTTGGACGCCAAGGGAGGCCATGGCAGACCTCTCAATATAAGTCTCTTCGGAGCCCGTTCGCTCGTCTTTTGTCTGCTGCTCTTGTTTCTTGGGTCCCGGACTCTAATCCCTCATTTCACAGTGTCTCTGGCAAGCTGACTTCTTTCCTTCTTACAAGTGTCTGTGGGTGGCCACAAGCAGGCTCAAGAAGGCATCTAGAAAACCTTAAAAAAAACCCACCATAAACCAGATTAAATATTGACCAGAAGCTTATGAGAAACCAGAAAACGCTGGATGCCTTTTGACCTTTGTTATCTTTAAAAATAATACATGAGAAAGGAAAAAAAAAACTTTGGAGGTAGAGCCAAAATGTCATCACCTCCTGTGTAGGCACATGCTTTACGTTGGCAGTCAAACAAAGGCAGGGGCCAGACAGGTGGCTGCTTTCCGAGAAGGTAGTGATGGCAAGAGCACTTGTGCTGTGTTAATGCCACTGCTAGTCTCCAAGGCCTGCTATTTAACATATTGCCAAGCAACTGCACCACAGGGCCCCTCAACTGCAGTCTGAGGCCAAACTCCAGGAGACTGGATCGTGTGGAACAAGTCTTAGAATGTGGCTTTGGACTCCAGCCTGCTAGCAGCTGCTAATAGCCAAGGGACTAAAAAGGGTACTGGCTTAGCCCAGAATCATTTTGCCTAAGGCAATAATGTACTTCCAGGGCAGATCAGGGTGAGCAGCAAAGCTTCCTGTCCATTCTCTGAGCGATCAGGTCTTTCTAGCCTTGTCCAGATCTATCCCTCCCTGCAAGGTAGGATAAGGGTCCCCAAAGGTATAGGACACTGGCTATTTCCTGTCTCCACTCCGAACAGATGATCCCATGGCCATCCTCTCAAATGACATGGGAGGTCTCTAGAGAAAAGCTGTTCCAGGTCCTAGGAGTCCTCCAAGTCCCTGGTTTGTCAGAGACAGCAGAAAAAGAGGAGGGAAAAAAAACTGCTCCCGGGTTAGTGGGCTTCACAAGAGGTAGTAAGCGGGCATTCAGTGACAGATGGGATTTTGCAGCATTAGCAGCTTTCTCACTCTTGTCCAAGGCTCAAGGTACAAAGGTCACACACCTCCCCCCACCTTCTGCAAGACTGTTCAGCCCACTGATTTTTCAACCCAATACAGCATTGCTACTCCATCTCCACCTTCCTCCAAAAATCTGGGGGTCGGGGCTAGAGAAGTAGCTCAGTGGTTAAGAGCACTAGTAGCTCTTCCAGAGGACCTAGGTTCAATTCCCAGCATCTACGTGGGGGCTCATAACTGTCTGTAACTCCAGCTCTAGGTCCGATTCGCTTTTCTGGCCTGCAGGTGCTGGCACACACGTGACACATATACTACATACAGGCAAAGCACAGACACACACACACACACACACACACACACACACACACACACACACACATATAAACTAGAACAAGCAAATGTTTTAAAATCTCTCCCGTTGCTCAGGGATCCATTCTTTCCTGAATTAAAACTCTAGAAATAAGCAAGCACATCTACTCGGTTACCTAATCTCTTCCCTATCCAAATCTGAATTTTCTGTGGAAACTCTTCCAATAGTCAGCACAAGCAAAGGGATCTTCTAATAAAAAAATTCCGGGAGGATTGGGATTTAGCTCAGTGGGAGCATGGAAAATCTCCTGACAACCTCATTTGACATCTTCAAAAGAACACAGCACCCCCACCCCATACCTCCTGATCAGTTCTTGCCTGGGTTTCATATTGTTACCAAATGGTAACCCTCCCCATCCAGACCAGTATCCTAGGAGTGAACCTTGACACCCTGCTCCTGTTTACCCTTGCACAACTATGAAGCTCTGCTAGTTCTGTCTTCTGAGCTACTTGGAATGTGTGACTCTCACTTCTCATCCCCACCAGTGCTTTCTAGTGCAGGACTTCAGCATTCTACCTTCCTCGCCTCGGGAAACAGTAGTTTTGTGGTTGCTCTTACTTGCAGCCCTCTCTTCCGATTTAGTCTCCATATGGTTGCCATGGTGATCTTTCAGCACATTAATCTGAAGAAGTCATTTGAGTGTGTGTCTACATGTGCCGACATGTAGGTGTGTGGACACACACACAAATAAATATTCACAGGGTGGGAAGAGGGATGCCACTTGACGCATAGACCGATGGAGACTAGACATTGACTTCAGGTATTTTCTTGATTTTTCTCCATCTTATGTTTTGATTTTTTTCTTTTCAGTTTTTTCGAGACAGGGTTTCTCTGTGTATCCTTGTCTGTCCTGGAACTTGCTCTTGTAGACCAGGCTGGCCTTGAACTCACAGCGATTCACCTACCTCTGCTTCCCGAGTGCTGGGATTAAGGGCGTGCACCACCACGGCCCAGCATGTTTTGAGTTTTTGGTAATTTATTTTATCATGCATCTATGCATACATGTGCATGCATGTGGAGGTCAGAGGACAGCTTGTGGGGCATTGGTTCTCTTCTTCCACCATGTGAGTTACGGTATCAAATGCAAGCTGTTAGACTTGGCCGCAAGTACCTTTACCCACTGAGCTACATCCTCACCCTCTGCCTTTTTTTAATTTTTTTTTTGAGCTGTTCTTCTGGCTGAACCTGGAGCTTGTTGTTTTGGCTGGCAAGTGAAGCCTTGCAATCTTCCTCCTCCTCTCCCACTCTGAGTGAACACACCTCCACATCCAGATTTTTTTACATTTCTCTGAACTCGAGTCTTCATGCTTTCACAACAAGTCACTATTCTTAAGACATTCCAGTGACCCACTATTGCCCAAAGGGAAAAAAAATCCAAATTTGTTTGCACTCCATGAGCCGCAGGATTGTCCTCTTGCTATTCACCCGCTCATACTCCACACTGTGGCTGAGCTAAATTGCTCTCCGCACTTCCGTCATGCCATGTGGTGTTTTGCTCCCACGTCTGAGCACAGGCTGTACTGTAAGGAATGTCTTGAGGACTTGGCTTGGATCTCTTTCATTCTAGACATGGTCCAGTGCCCCTCTTCTATATTTTCTCTGAAGATTTTTTTATGTATGTAAATGTCTTGCCTTGTGAAATGTCTGTGTGCCCATATGTGCAGGGTACCAAAAGAGGGCATTGGATTCCCTGGAACTAGGGTTATAGATGGTTATAAGCCAATGTGTAGGTGCTGAGATTTGAACCTGGGTCCTCTGGAAGAACATTCAATGCCATTCACCACTGAAGCATCTCTCCAGGACTCTCTTTTATATTATTTTAGTACCTTATATTCATGTACTTCCATCATCACCATAACGGCAGTAATTACAACAACGCACATACTACTTATTGCTTCCTTTTCGTTAGTTTTTGTTTTGTTTTGAGACAGCATTTCACTATTTAGGCCAGACCTGCCTGGAACCCACTGTGTAGCCCGAACTAGCCTCAAACATGTGGTCTTCTTACCTCAGCCATCCAAGTGATAGGAATACAGGCATGCACCATTGTGCCAGGATATATAGTGTTTCTCATGAGACTATTATAAGCACATTATGTGTTGATTAATTATTAACCATTTCATGATAGATACACGAATACTCTCTACTGCATAATAGGCAAGAAAACTAAGGTCATGACATACTTGTGTTATATTGTAATTTCCTGCTTAAACTCATTTTTCTCTGCTTGTATGGGAGGTACTTGATGGTAGCAATGGTCTCTTATTTATGTCTGTACTTCATACGCCTTACACAGTGCCTTAACCCTAAATAACTATTTAAACATGCTTTTGGGGGGAAAAAACAGAGACTGGGTCTTTCTCTGTGACCCTACCGGTCTGGTACTTGCTATGTAATCCAGGTTGCCCTTGGGCTCCTACCTTTATCTCCTAAATGCTGGGATTACAAGTTTGCACCAGCTCGCCTAGCCGCTTAATGAAAGAATAAAAACAGTAAGCAGGTTTCAAGGGCCCCAGGAGACTATAATGAGTCCGTGAACATTGCAGAGAAAGGATTACCAAGATGTTGCCCGCGAGAGAATGAAGGGGATCTGAAGAAGACGGGATACCTAGAGGAGGACAAGATGGAGAAATACAGTGGCGCTCCTCTGTCTTTTCCTCCCTCCCTCCCTTCATTTGTTGACTATCTTGCCTGTTCAGTTGAAGGGGAAAAGCATGCTAGACTTGTGACATGCTTTCGCAGCGGAAGACACAGCCTTGGTAGCCCTGTCCATCAGCGCTGCTGTGATAGCGGTGTCTGTGCAAAGCAAGGCAGGTGCCAGCGCCCATGTAGCAAACTTTGCCATGCACAGCTACGACAAGGGGCTAGTCCTTTCCTGGCACTGGTTTTCTTTTGCTCCTCTAGTCACAACAGTGCCTATCCAGGTCTCAGAGGCACATCTCAGCAAGGCTCCGACGTAAGCATCTTCCCGGTGAATAGTTCACATTTTCAACACTTTTAAAAGCACCCTTCCCCACTACTGCCCCTTTATTATGCAGCTATTACTGTCAATCTTGACCTTTCTCTTTCAGCCGGCCTTCTTAACCCCATGAATATCACTGCCACCAATTGACCTTTGCACACACTTCTCTGCTGTCGCCTTGCTTCTGCCGTTTGCTCTCCACCGAGAGTGCTCTCAACAAAGTTAATCATTTCCTGATTCTAACGTCTAACATTCGTCTATCTGCCATCTTCCCTTGCCTCTCGCCTTCTGACATCTCCCTTGTTTCCTATAGTGCTTCCAGTGCCGCCAGTCTTCTTCCTCTCTTTTTAAAGACAGGACTTCTAAATGGTGCTGTAGCTGGCTTTGATACTCACTATATAGCCCAGGCTGACTTCAGACTCCCAGTAAATTATCTTGCCTTAGCTTGACAAGGGCTGTTAAATTCATACCTCTCCCATAGATCTTGCTTTTGAATTCAAGCTTTGTCTAGACAGCTGCATTTGGAATGGCCACCCACAAATGTATTAATATATTAATGGCACCCCAAACTCAACACACACAAAGCTGAAGTCTCTGCCCACTTTTTTCCATCCTCAAACTGTTCCTCACACAGTATGCCCTGTCTCAGTAGTATAATCCTCCATCCAGAAACCCAAGGCAGCAAGCCTTGATTTTTCAATCTTTCTGTTTTCTTTCTTTTTGTTCTCCTTTCTGAGATAGTATCTTGCTATATAGCCCAGACTGACTTTGAACTTGTAAC